TCCCCCCCTCCTCTCTTCTCCCTCCTCCTCCTCCTCTCCCTCCTCTCCCTCCTCTCCCTCCTCTCTCTTCCTCCTCCTCCTCCCTCCCTCCCTCCCTCCCTCCCTCCCTCCCTCCTTCTCTCGGCATGTTTCAATCTTGGTTGCCTTGTCACATTTTTAATGTTCCAAACGAGAAGCGTCAGGCTCGCCTCGTTGCTGCTTGAAAGATCCGCTGAGAGAACGTGAGGTGGAAAGACAAGCAAGAGAAGAAAACAAGAAGAAAACAAGAACAAGAACAAGAACAAGAACAAGAAGATCAAGAACCATCGACAAATCAAAACAACTGAAGGACAAGAATCTTATCAATAAATCCAAACCAAAGAATCACCACAAACATGCGCAATGTGCGCCGTAGAATATCTATCCACACTCTACAACAAGCTATCACTGCCGCAGCCCTTCACTCACTTTCTTGCTGCTTCCAACGCCTCCCCCGCTGTTGCGTCGTCAAAAAACTTTACCTGCTCCTCCAAACACCTCAAACCTGCCGCCATGTCCAACTTGTGCTTCGTCCAGTAGAGTCCGTTGAGGTGAAGTACAGGGATGTCGTACTTGTAACTGCAAGCAACGTCACCGATCAACTTCCAATCGAGATTGTCAAGACCGCTTCCACCAGTCTTCATGCTCCGGATCCGTGATGTCAATCTTTGATGATGCAATTTATAGTCAGTCGAGTATGAATGCTCCTCCTCCTCATTGTCTTCATCTCCATTCCTACCATCATCTCCATCTCTATCTCCATCATCTCCACTATCATCATCATCTCCACTATCATCTCCTCCATCTCCAGCATCGTCTCCATCATCATCTCCATCATCATCATCATCTCCATCATCATCATCATCATCATCATCATCATCATCATCATCATCATCATCATCATCATCATCTCTCATCTCCATCATCATCTCCTCTATCATCATCTCCTCCATCTCCATCATCATCATCATCTCCTCCATCTCCATCATCATCTCTTCCATCATCTCCATCATCATCTCCTCCATCATCATCTCCATCATCTCGAATTTATCATCTCCATCTCCATCATCATCATCTCCACTATCATCTCCATCATCATCTCCATCATCATCATCTCCGTCATCATCATCATCATCATCATCATCATCATCATCATCATCTCCATCATCATCTCCATCATCATCATCTCCATCTCCATCATCATCATCTCCATCATCATCTCCATCATCATCATCTCCATCATCATCATCTCCATCATCTCAATGACCACTTGCAATCAGTCTCCTCATGCCTATCACGCAACTTTGTTGTACTTGCTCTTCTCCTCTCGCTCACCTGCGACAGACTGTGGGGATGACTCTCCTTGCAGTCCTTCAGCACAACCTTCACCTGTCCTCACACTCAGAAGCGACATGAGGGAGGGAGGGATAGAGGATGGCAGCAGGCAAGCAGGGAAGGCAGTGGGGCAGGCAGCCAAGAGGGAAGGGGAGGCAGGCAGGAGGGCAGGAGGGCAGAGGGCAGGAGGGCAGGAGGGCAGGCAGGTGGGAAAGGAAGGAGGAGAAGTTTCGACATGGCACCGCTCAACCCGAGACAAGCAGCAACCTTATCGCAGAGAGTGCAGTCAGCCTTGGTGAACAAGGTGACCCTGGGAGACTCCGGAGGCCCCTCGTACACTGATCCTGCGAGCATGTCCGTTTTTTCAGCACTAGCCGCCACGTTACGTCCTTACCGGTAACACTCACTCGCTGCTCCGCCGATGCTGCACGTGGGGTCAGAGAGGAGGGTCAGCGCAAGGAGAGGAGGGTCAGCGCAAGTAGAGGAGGGTCAGCGCAAGGAGAGGAGGGTCAGCGCAAGTAGAGGAGGGTCAGCGCAAGGAGAGGAGGGTCAGCGCAAGTA